CCCCAAGGAGAAGCCACATGGACCTACCCCGATGCTTCCCTGGTGCTGGAGCACCGTATGGAGACCCCTGCCAGCGCTGAGATGCTTACACATTCCCTGACTCGGCTTTCCTCCTGCAGTCGGCATCATTGCGTCTGTTTTGTGAGATGGAGGAGGACTTTGTGGATTGGTGTCGGACATACGGGTTAATGGGTTACTGTTGCACTTGTGGGCTTGGGCAGCACTGGGTTGGTATGTTTTCTTGATATACACTTAACCTTTATATAAAACTCTCTCTTATACATGACTTTCTGTGGATTTGTTTCCTTAAAGTACCCAGACTAATACAGCTTGTTTGATTGGGTAATCCAAGATCTCGTTCTAACTCTTACAAAAACTCCAAACTCACTGCCCTCGAGTCAACGTGGACTCAGAGCCTCCCTGTCGGCCAGGGTAGAACTGTCCCTCTGAGTCTCTTTGACTGTCCTTCTTTACGAGAGTAGAAAGCCCTGTCTTTCTCCCTAGTTCTGCAAAGCCATCCATCCACAAAGATCATTTCCCCCAGACGTGACCCATGCCAGGCTGCTCCGTCAAGCTTACCTAGTGTCCACGCGAAGTAATACTTGGGCTTTGAGGCTTGCAGGACAACGTACAAGTAGCAGAGTCGAGTCAGGAAATTTGTTTTATGGACAAACCAGTCATCCACCAGGCAGGTAACAGGGAAGTTCTTCGTGAGTGTCAGAAACAAGAGAAGAGACGCCAAGGTGATGCAAAGCTTCCGGACCACGGCTCTCTAGAAACGGGAAAACAATCCGTGTAACCATGGAAGGCTCAAGGACGTGGAGCACCACTTCTGCAAGGCATGTTATGAACGACGTTGCACCCATAGCTTCTTGGCACGATGCCCTACAAAGAGGTAGAAAGGCACTCTCCCTCCTGGCACATTTCTAGGGTAGGGGAGGTGTGCTGTATTTAAATGCAAGTTACCTGTATTTAAATGCAAGTTATGTAGCCCTCAGATGCCTGAGGGCTGAAGGAAGGAGATGAAATTCATCTAGGGAATGGATGACAGCTGTCACTAGCAAATTCTACCAACGACAAAGTAGAAATGGCTCTAGCATTCAAAACATAAGAGAAATGGATAATATTACAGGGTGGTCATTTCTACCTGATGGTTCAGCAATTAGAAACCGCTAGCCACGCCATGAGGGAAAGACGAGGCTGTCTACTCCATACAGAGTTACAGTCTCGGAAACCCATACGGAAGGTCTATCCTGACCTATAGTGTCACGATGAGTCACATTGACTAGACGGAAGTGAGATTTGTTTGGCTTTTAATTTCCCATTAAATATGATATTTGGTAAAGTGAGGGTGAGGGGAAGCCTTCATGAGATGCATTGACACAGTGGCTGCAACACTGGACCCCAAAAATCAAGACGATGGCACTGAATCGGGTCAATATTTTGTTTTGTTGTACACGGGCTCGGCATAAGTTGGAATCAACTCAACAGCAAGTAAGGACAGCAATTTTCCAT